AATTCAAGCACTGGTTTCAAGTAAACCTCCAGCATTTTGTTGTGCGACCTTTTGCATCTTAATACACTTAATACTGCTGACAACTAGTTTTGTTGCATTTCCACATTCACTCACAATGTTAACCATGTGTTTTAAACCATGTGTTAGACAGGGTGGCGGCACGCTAACATTAGCCATTAGCAGCATGCGAACACTCGCTAATTAACGGTAAACACGTGGTGCAGGCAGCTGATTAAGAGATGCTCATAAATCAAAGAATTGGATAAATGTTGACCTGGTTTTGCCGCTAAATAAGAGTAAAGAGAGCACTAACGTTATTTTATTTTGAAAGGACGCTGAGTGTCTAGATAATTTCACACATCTGAAAGATCATGTTCGAGCCTTTGAATAAAACGTAATCCAAACAAAGAAACACACAGGCGTGACATTTAGATACAGCTGTGTGAGGCGATAATATAAAACATGACGTCTAATACCACAGGTATTTCTTTAAGGATTATGGCACCTTTTTTCATAAAGCTGTCAACTTCTGCAGCCTAATCCTGTAAACAGGGACTGAGCTAAAGGTCATGAGAACATGATATATGACACATGTCTGTGAGAAACACACCATTATTGGAGTTTTTACTTTGAAAACGGATTAAAAAGACACTTTCTTGGAGTGGAATAGGTGGAATAAGGTGATTTACTGCACTGGTGACATGAATTATTCAGTTTTACACAAGAAAAATGTGATTATCTCACTTTAACAGGATTACTTTTCAAATAAAATACCACATTTTAAGGCTGTGTTTGGACCTTATTTTGACTGTTAACCTCGCAATGGCTGTAACAAAATATTACTAGCACAAACATCAGTACAAATGATGGATTTTTGACACAAAGAGCTATCAAATCCAAGCCTGTTCAGTTGAGTTTGATTTTCCCTTGAGTGAAACAGCCGTTTCCCGTGGCAAACACATGGCGAAAGCATCTTATAAAGTTTATAAACAACAATAAAACCACAGTAAATAAACTAAAGGCACAATAAAACAAGCCACAAACTGCCACAAGACACAGATACAACGTATACAGGAACAAACCCAGATTTCCTGCACACATGCCTCGTAAAGGTGTGAGAATCCATCATTAACCTGCACATGAATCTAAATAATTGCAGTTAATTCAGTAAATGAGAGTCTGATTCCTTAATTGCAGTTTAAACATCACACTGGGCCAGGAAAGAGCGGTTTAACGTAACCTCATTCTGGAGAGTAACTTTGGAGAATAGGAATAAAACACTCTTTTTGTGTTGTGCTAATAAAGCAACTTTTAGCTTCTGTTTGAGATTCAAACTCAACTTTTGGGGCAAAACTAAACCCTTTTTTCTTCATTTCTGCACATTTTGAACGTGTTAAACCCTTTCTTTCTTAGAAGAACTCTCAAATTAAACAATAATGCACCTCAAGCTAAGTATTTAACACATAAGATACTATTGACAACGCGTGGTGCTAAATTGAGTCTGATAAACTCCACAAACAAAGTGTCCTTTGTGGCGCTCAGTAATTAGGATGTAGGGGCCTTTCCGATTAGAGGCTTTATTTAAAGGGGCCCTATTGTGCTTTTTGGGGATTTTCCCTTCTCTCAGTATTGGTGGAGAACTATAATAAAAGCATGTTGAACCAGTAATGAAAAGCATTTTTACTTCCTATCCACATTTTGGTACAAACTAACCGCTGAAAATCCCCATTTTATGCCAACATCTGCCACCGATTTACCAGAACACGCCTGTCCCGGATATTAACCGGCGCTGCAGCCCGCTGAGTGTGCTCCGTCTGCCTCACCACTAACCAGAGCTGCAGGAGGAGCGCCGGTTCGAGCCCCGCCTGACCTGACCTGACGTGGAAAATAACAAGACTGCAGCAGGCCTGTAATTTTAAGAGGCTGCAACCTTTTAATCATATCTTGATCTACATCCTTTATCGCTGCGACGGATGCTAATTTGAGACCTCGTATGTCTGAGAGCTCTCGACCTGGTCGCTGTACCGTTTCATATTTTGGAGAAGAGGAGGAACAGGCGTACCATCTGAGAGACAAAAACATGTTGTTTTTATGAGACAATCTGCATGAAAATGTCAAGAAGCAGCTGATATACACTTCATGATCAAAAATATGCAGCTTTACCGGCCTCCTCTCTTTGTTTTACAGTCTTTCTGCCAGATTGTTGAACCTGCTGCAGAGATGTGCTCCAAACAAAAACCAGTCATTTTGTAGATTTTCCATGTACAGTTTCCAGTGCAGCTTATCTCCAGGTAAAGGGTTCTGTTTGTCCCCTGTTGCTTCACTCTGCGTACTGGTAGAATGATGAAACGGCCAAGGTGCATGTACATGTTTATCCAAAGCTCGGGTCATTTGGCAGTCTGTCCCCGTGTCCTCCTACGCTCTGTCAGGGAGAGGAGAACCGGCTTGGGTCATACGTTTGAAATATTCCTGTATTGTTCATTGTATTCTTTGTCGGCGTGATATAGTACCATGTTTTTGTTCTTGGTGAGCTACTTGCTGCAGCACGCCGGGAACCAAATCTATGAAACTGAAAGGCACACAACTTCGACGTCAGGGAGAAATAAGTCGATATTTGCAATACAGACACTTAAATGGACTCCAACCCCAATGAACAATAACAATCCACCACACCTTGAACTTTATGTTATGTTATGTCTTTGCCCTGTGCTGTGTGTTGTACTTTTTATTGTCTGTTTATTGTATGGAACAAGCTGTAATACTCTGCACTGAACACGAATTCCACCAGCCTGGCTGTGTGGTCATTAAAGATTCTAATCTAATATTTGTCATCCAACAGCTGACGGTTGTAAAGTAAACTGGAGTTTGTTCATTTGTGACTTCTCTTCATGAGGGTTCAAGTTGTGTAAGGCGCTGCCGACTTCCAAAATCCCTGTTGTAAATAATACGAAGTGTCAGGCATCAGGATTCTTCTGCATGCAATGATGACGAGACGTTGTTATTGGAGTTTGAAATGGCTGCTTTCTCATTATATGTCACCTACAAAGAGGCAGAAATACACCAAAGACTTTTGCAAATGTGTTGATGAAGACACTCTTTAAATTAGTAACAAAGTCAAGGTGACATATTCTGCTCGTTTTCAGGTTCATATGTGTGCTGTGCGCCTCTACTGTGACATGTCTCCATGCTTTAATGTTCAAAAAGCTCTTTATTTTTCTCATGCCTGTGCTGCAGCACCTCTTCTCACCCTCCGTCTGAAACCAGAGCCCAGTGTGCTCTGCGATTGGTCAACCGCTTGGAGATGTCCCGCCCCTTATCACGTACAATGTGTCGGAGCGCTAGCTAACCAAATACAAAGGAATCTTATATAAAGCCGTTATTTTATTCTTCCCTTGTGATTAAATATACTTCTCATTTGTGCATGCTTTGCGTAACTGTGGAACTGTTGGCTGCATGTTGCCATGGCAGGACGTTTTGTTTATCACTAAACACGGCAGTTAAATCAACAGCTATCTGCGATGTGCCACCCTCTGGCCTTATTAAAATGCAACTTTTGTTTAAATACACTCTGATTGAATACACCGTCGTTCCTTCCTTTTCTTTACGAGGCTTTTCACAGAGCTCTACTGTCTGCAGCGTCCTCTGAGCTGCTTGATTGTGAGGAGGATGACAGTTTGATTTAGGCCTGCAAAGCTTTAATTTAATATCTCTGTGATCTGGATATTGTTAATGGAGCCGAGCAGTGGTTGCTCTTAATTGAGACATTCACAGAATGATTTACAGCAGGCAGTTTAAAACAAATGATAGTGAAGTCTGACAGCAGGATAATGAATGTGTTGCAGGGACTCAGAGGGGCATGAGAAGGGTACTTTTTGTCAGTTTGATTTTTGAGCCAGTTGCTCCTCATCATCAGCAAGCCATGACTAAACTGCACCGCTGTATAATCTCTGGCGGAGCTGGAAACATGCTGCAGAGCTGCGGTGACTTTCCACTGCGCCACCGCAGGCCGCGCTGCCTTTTACTGCGACATGCAGAGGTGGCATTTACACAGCAGTAAACACGCTGCCAAACTCTGACGACGACTCGTGAACTCTCTGCTCCGCCATGTCCAAAAGCCCTTCGGTCAAACATGCTGCATGCAGGAAGGGCCTTTCTAGCAACCCGTCAGGCACTTTGCTCAACAAGTGCTTCAAGTTAATGCTTTTTAGTAGTTTCTAACAAATCCTAAGGAAGGTTTGCATGCGTTTACTGTGAAGACATTTAACAAATCCTTGGTTCAACATTTTCCAAAGTAAAAATAACTTATTGTACTTCAGATGATGCCACAACAACAAAAATCTGCAGCATTTAAAGGTTTTGTTTTTACAGAAATGTAATGAAAACCTAATGTATAGACCGACTGTATATTGTAAAAGAAAAAAGTTGTCTTCAAAATGGTCTCGTCGTGACCCATCATGAAGCTTTGGTGACCTCTTAGGGGTCTCAAGCCACATATTTGTAACCAGTGCTAGTGTACACTATTCATCATTTTATTAATGTATTTATTAAATTTGCTAAATGAACTATAATATTTGTTATTTTAAATAGATTAATTAATTATGCCGTCTACTCAAGTTCAACTATGCATTCTTTTTTAGAAATTATTATTTTTGTTACATTTATAAAACATATAAATGTTTTAATTGTATCCTTATAATTATTATTATAATTATTATTTCATTAGAATTTGTTTGTGGTTTTTTATTTTTAAAATGAAAATGTATTAATACATCAATTATTGTAATTCTAGTGTAATATGATAGGATAGAAAATAAATTCCCTCTTAAGGTCTCCTGGTAGAGATGCAGTCCTTCAGTTCCTCCTCTGTGTGGTTAGTCTCAGTTGGCCCACATTTGGTCCACCTTAAATATTTCTGCTCGCGCAAAGGTGTCACACACACACACACACACGGCTACGGGAGCGCGCGCCAGCAGCCCTGTCAAATCACACTGGCGGTGACGCGCAGGCGGAGGACTTACATAAAAATCCTCTGGGGACTTTTTTTTTGTTTTAACGTTCAAAAGTCACGGTATTTGCGGTAAATCGGAGTGGATATACATAAAGCGGCAGAGGATGAAAAGTCGTGATAGTTAGCGGACGTTTTCTGGGAGTTTGGAGCACATAAAGTGCGTAGAGGGAAGTTTTCTACGCGAACCAAGCGAGGACGTAAAGGGGATTTTACGTCTCATTTTTCATACTTTTTATTATTTTTGTCGTTTTTGTTGTTTGCGGGATGTGAATCTACCGAGTTGTACCGGTAACTTATTCCTAAAAACCCGGGATAAAGCCACTTTCCATTTACCTTACTTAGTTGAACTCACCATGCTGGCGAACACGTCGCTTTACGCTGCAAAGAAACGGAAGAAGCCAGTGCAGAAAATGTAAGTAAACAAGCATACAACTGTAAAAACTGTGTAATACTCCTATAGTTATTCATATAATATCACAGTGTGTATTGGGTACATAAAAAGCTTGTGCACAATGCTTTTATTGTACTTTCTATATGCCTTTAATACCCCTGTATTATGGTGACCCATTGTACTGCGTACTGTACTTTTACTGTAATATTTTAGAAATATTACAGTAGGCCTACTACCACTACACAAACTCTACTCATGCTTCTTTTCAGGATTAAGAACATGTGTAAATGTACTATTTCCACACCACACCACGCATTAATGACTTTTTGATGATTTTATTGCATTACAATAATATGTTATATGTATTTTTCTTATACTTTTTTAAGATAAATAGTTTTTTTTTACTGAGTTACAGCTGTGCAACCATCTCCAGAGGAGTGTGCATTACAGCCTGAGTTACATGGTAATAAGAGTGCATGCAGTAGGTCATAAGTTGCACTCTGTGTTTGCAATAGTAGCCACATTGTCCTGGATCTATAAAGACCATAAAGTGTGTTTTCCCGGCTGTGGTTGGGTAATGCTGGGTGCTGAAGTCCAACAGCACTGCAGCATGGAACATAAAGAAAACTTGCTGCAGGATTATTAAAAAACCTAATTATAACACCTGATGCAGCAGGGCTTCCCAAGACTCGTGTGCACATTTTATAAAACTCTTTTGACTTATTTATTTCCCTTCCTTTCTGAGAATGGCATTTTGAGTTGTTTTTTGTTTGACTGTTGGCTGGGAGGAAAACCCCACATCAGTATAAATCATAATACAACCTCCTTTTGAGTCTATTTCTCTTAAAGCGGATGCATATTCAAATTGCATCTTTGAGAAACACAATATGAGAATATTGCAGGGTTTTATGTGCAGTGGGAAAATGCCTTTTGGACTACATTTATAATGTGTTTAGCAATGCTCAAATGTGTCTGTAAGGAGTCTTTGTAGCTCTTTGTGGCATCAGAAATGCCTTTAATTGTGATTTCTTAGTTCCTCAGGACCTTTTTAAGGATCTCTAAGGAACTTTATTTTGTCAGGCAGTGTTTTTTACAGGAGCAAATGGGGCAGTGGTTCATTTTTGCACCAACATGTGATCTGACAAGTGGCTGTATACTTGTACATTGGGACTTTACAGTACTATAAAGAACGTTTATGCCTGATTACTAACTACAGACTGTGATGACCCCAGATGGACAGTCTGCTTAGTGCAAGACTAAACATGCCTCAAATGAATACATTTCAAATAGACTCTTCCTGTTGTTTTGGGTGCTTTCAAAACTCACATTTTGTTGTGGCTTTGGTTTAATTTAATTGTAAGAAAAACACTTTTTGACCTATTAACAGGAAGTAAACCAAACCACAGATTACTATTTGAAGAGATGGACACATTAATATGAAGATGAGTGGGTTTGCTTGAAATCCAGGCCAAAGATAGCGCACCGCATGATAAACAACGTTTGACAAACTGGAGGAGAAAAGATCTCTGCGATAGAACGTGGCATACAGTACATTTCAAACACTAAAGAAAAGTACCTCAAAGGTGTACTTGAGTAAATATACTTAGTTACTTCCACCGCTGGAAATATATATTGTACACGCCTCTCGCAAGTCATTTGTTTTATATTCGATCCGCTTGTGCACCCGAAAACCAACCGCACAGAAAATAAAACAAACCAGAACTATCAACTTAGCATTTTGTCCTAAAATAACCCTTTAAGCACCGTTACCATTCATTTAAGGTTCTTTAAATAAGAATTTTAGGAATTTTCCTGAATGCAACATGCTTGAAAATCCCCTTAAACACCCATCACAGTGCTTTGAATAACATGGAGAAGTCATGGAATGCAACATGCTTTAATAATTATTTAATTAGTATGTAGTGTCTCTCCTGTGACATGTCTCCATGCTTTAATGTTCAAAAAGCTCTTTATTTTTCTCATACTGTGCTGCAGCACCTCTTTTCACCCTCTGTCTGAAACCAGAGCCCAGTCTGCTCTGATTGGTCAGCTGGCCGGCTCTGTTGAGATTAGTCAAACCGCTTATATGTCCCACCCCTTAGCCTATCACGTACAATATGTTGGAGATCTAGCCAATTGAAGTGTGAGGCTTACATAGTGATGTCACTATGTTCTGAAAGTAAACAATGGAGGCGTTTCAGGTAGGGGGGGAGTGTGGGATTTTAGCCTTTGCAGACCATTTACTTAAAACCCATAATAGTGCTTTAATAACATTTGTGGGCATGTCATTGAATGCAACATGCTCGAATAGCTCATTAACACCCATCGTATTGCTGTAAAGACATTTTTCTTGCTAAAGTGGGTTTTCCCGTTAATGCAAAGAACATTTCAGAGATGGTCTTGAATGCAACACGCTGGAATAGTTCCTATTTAGACCTTTCTGACGAGCACCATGCTGAATGGGGTTTTCCCGGTGCTGCAAGGAGCCTTTTCAGAACATAGGAGCTGCTCTCTGTGAGCTTCCCAGGTTGTGACTCCTGCCTTTTACGAGCCAGACGGCAGTGTTAACGGCTCGCACAGAACCACAGGCCCGGGGTCAGAACCCTGCCAGAACCGTGGTTTCAGTGTGTGTGTGGTACTACCTGCATTAATCATAATCAGGACGTGGAGCGAGAGGCTCTCACGCAATGTTTCCACGAGGGAGGAGGGAGGGAGGAGGGAGGGAGGAGGATGGAGTAATCTGAGCCTCGCTGTGTGTTTTTCCTCCTCCTCCTCCTCCTCCTCCTCCTCCTCCTCCTCCTCCTCCTCCTCCTCCGCTGCCACAACATACTTTTTCCTGTCTTTTCTTCCGTGTCTCTGGGTGTTTTTTGGGGGGGTTGTTTCTTTCCTCCCTCCCTCAACACAAATGAACATAGTTCAGTGTCACGCAAACACTTACATAACTCTCCCATGTTCACTCTGCTTTTTCTTGTTGGGAAAAGTTGCTCTCGGTTTATCTTTCGTTTCTTTGTTTAGGAAATGGTGAGTAAGTGTGTGAGAGAGGAGGCGTCACAGCAGTGTGTCCCCAGGCACTTTACCTTTATGTTTACACTGTAGAAGTAGAACATTTACATGTATGGTGATTTCTCTTAGTCTGTGAAAAAGTTATGAAACAACAAGTATGCAGACTCCATTACATCATTTTAATGCAAATTATTGAACAATCCAAGTAATGCTATTTCAATCAGGAGAGACGGTTTTGATGTGAGAATACATATTTATTGCAGAGATACACAAATGAATGTAATGGTGATTTTGGCGATTAGGCCCCGTTGTGCAGGAAGTATCATTCGGGAGGGGAGAACCGATCCGATGAAACCCCCCGGGGGTCTAGACACTGGTGGTGGTGAATGAATAGTTGGGTTCGGTCTGAAGAGGAGGGGCTTAGCTTGACCCTGGATTCAGAGGGACAGGGGATCATTTTTTTAGCCTGGCTGCAGGGATTTTCTCAAGTTCAATTCCCACCAGAGTTTAAGGGATGGATCTAGCTCAAGAAAATAAATACAAAAATAGATTACAAGCCATAAGAAATGTGCAAAGTGTGGATTCACTGTACCAAATCAACCAAGTTGTACATTTCCCTGCAGTGGGAAGTACTTCTGAAAATAAATTACCAAATGCAATCATTTAGAAAGAGGCTCAAGACAAAAGGGGAAACAACACCATGCTAAGATATTAATCGAAATGAATGCAATGAAGGGTTTTGCTGAGAAGTCATGCTGAAGAGCAGCTGTTTCTCTTATGACTGACATCAGTGTCACAGATTCACTTCCCAGACGTTACGACATCAGTAAACATCAGAAAAAACAGTGACGTTATTTTTCCACTTCCTGTGTTTTGGTAGTCAGTGGTGATTGATTAGGATGCCAAATCAATAACCTTTTATTTCAAGTAATGGAAAAAGATATAAGAATGAATAAAACATCAACACTTTGTATCATATTTTGTACACGATTTGGCCAAATAGACTATAGCCTTATAGACCGATTGTCTACATACTTTTCCTGGAGCTCTTATGCCTTTCAAGTCCAATCATTGCTCTTAACTATTAACTGTCATCAGTCCAAAGTCCACCGAGTATCATCATTTATGTCTTTATGTAATTCTCAAACTGTCAGAATGTTAATTACGATGTTTTAACTCACGCACCGCTGTTGTTTGTGAAGTAGAATGATACATTGTTGTTGGCACGAACCAGCAAGTTTGTTTGAAAGAGCAAAGTATTTCAAAGGGATTCACATTAGATATTAAAAGACGCATAAAGACGAGTATTCATTTGATTCCAACGGGATCAAATGAAAGTTAATCAACCGTTTTTTGGCATTGAATTCATCAAGTTTAGGATATTGGCAGCTCTAATCCAAAAATGTTGGCTCTGAGTATCTGTTATCGACTTTTTGGACTGATATTGACCGGTTTCTACACCTGAATGTTCATCTGGATATGAAAAGAAACACAGGTAAAATATAAACATGTTAAAAATGAATATAACTTTAGGCATTAAAATGATCAAATATAGAGTATACGCAGCTTTTATCCTTAAATATCTACTCTGGTATCGCCTATTCTTGCCTGATTCAGCCTCCCCGCTGTATCATACCTCCAGCAGCAGACGCCAACATCGTATTTTGTTTCTTTTGTTCTGCAAAGGTGTCGTTGCCCGGTTCTAGACAAAGTGCCTTTGTGTAAATGCAGGGGATTGTTTTTTTTCTTCCAAGTCCAACAAAAAAAAAACCTACACACACACACACGCAGATCTGTGAGATAACGGAGAAGCAACAACACTGGCCGCTCATTGTTCTTGCAGGGAGTTGTGCCGTCAGGAATGCAGCGATAGATATCATCTCCTCGATCCCAGATAGGTCGTGTTCTGCGGTATTATTGGAAGCAGATGTCTTATTTACAGGAGAGGAGGGTTTAACGTTTTACACATTTATGTTACAGTTACAGCGCTGCACCGACGTCATGCTTTTTACAGTGTA